GGATGCTGCTGCTGCTGCAATTGCTCACCTAGGATCCACTTCAGGAGGCATTGCATGAGGACAAAGCCCACTGGAAGGCGGTCCATCTTTACGTGAATATCTGTTGCAAGTGAAGAGAAGTCCGGTGGGATTTGGCAGTCTTAGTCACCAGGAGATGTCAAGGTCAAGTGAAGTGATGTGAGAAGATAATTGACCTACACAGAATCCAAACTGCTGTACATGTCGCCCACGGTGGAAGGAAAAAAGAGCAGGTGTGAATCACCTTAGTGACTCCTGCAAATGTACAATTCAGTTGTCCTTTTGGTCAGAAAGTGTAAATAACGGGATGTATTTTGAATAAGGGAGTCATTTTTCTCACCTTAAAGCTTATGAATTATCCAGAGACAAAGTACAGCCAAGAGGTAGAAGAGGGCAGGGTAGGTGTCAGTGAGGTCTGGAAAAAGCAACGTTTTATTATTGAATGCACACCTTTTCAGAAAACACTTATTACAGGACATACCGGAAATCTGCTTAGCGATGATGAAGAGAGGGGGGAGTGCGTAGAAGAGGGAAAAGTGGAGAATCTTCAACAAGTCTACAATTTAGGATGCAAACAAATTAGTTGCGACCTCAGGTTTGCCAGGCAACTTCTCCCACCCACTAACTTGCAAAGCGCTCCCCCAACTGTGCCTCCTCCACAAGTGCGGCTACTGTCTCACAATCTTGTAACACGTCTAGGAGTCACACATGAAAGTAAATATTGAAACATGGCAATGGGCCACCCTCTAGCATAATCGAAGAGCATAAGCAGGATAAAAGGGAGAGAAAGGACAACTGAAACTTACCAAGAGGAACGGCTTGAATTAGACTAACGGCATTCCACACCGCAAGAACGCATTCTGTGCCAATCCATGGAAGTACAGGCGACCAGACAGCAAGTGCACCCACTACCAGACACAATAAAGCAGAAATCCAGTTTGATACGCACTTCGTCATGACGGATGGACAAGTTTGTGAGGAAGTCTTGATTCATTATTGCCCTGCAGGTATGGCGTCACCTGATTTCCATGCTAGAGCAGTATACTACT